TTTATTTGGCCCCGTTTATATAAAAACATAAGGTACTGATGTTCCACCGAAACTGAGAATTTTGTTTATTTTAATATGCTGTTTATATTTGGTGAGCTGGTTTAAAATTTTTATTTTCGGAGGGACCATCAGCAACTTCCATTTTGGGGCCACCATAATATACATATGTATGCATGTAAAATAGAATTAAATCGGTATTTTTAAATAGCAAATTGTTATAAAATAAAGATAAATAATAGTAGAATAAATATATAGAACTTATATATTTTTTTAAATAAAAATTTTGTATTTTAAAGTAATATTTATATAAAATTAAAGACGCACTTTTGATACTCAACAAGTAAAAATCCTACCATAGTCTCTATCAAGTCTCTAGAGTCTAGACTATTCAAACAATAGAATCGACTATAATCTAAATCATAGACTAGACAATATTCAAAACTATAGTCTCATTAAAGACAAGACCACAGTTTGATTAAAGACGAAACTTTAAGAGTATACTAAAGGAGATCATAGATAAGAGTATAGATCAGACCCAGATTATAGTCTTGTATATAATAAAGACTTGATTATAGTCTACAATCTGCAATATAAACAATATTACAGATTAGGCCAGGCAATAGACAGATTATCAACTAGAATATATCGTCACCTAAAACGCAAACGGCCCTAACATTTTTAAAATTTTACAGAAGCAAAAAACTGTGAAAACCTATCATTTGTAATGATAGTTGACAATGGCGTATATAAAAATGGATAAATTGGACTTTTTACCTTTAATATTTAAAGGTTTTGTATATAGGGCCTTTTGTTTTTTGTTAATAAAATCGATAATTTTTGTCGGAGGACTCCAATTTTTGGTGTGGACATTTATTTTGATGCAATATATTAGAATCAACAATAAAATCGATTTTGGATTTTTGGTTAATTAGGACCGTTTGCGTTTCAGGTGACGCTATCAACTATAGTAAGAATTATCGCATGGCATAGACTAATCTATGAACTATACTAAGCGATAAACTAAACTTTCTACTACGCTATAGACTATAGATTTTAAATTTATTTAATTACAAGACTTACATGGATGTGGTTCATTCCTGTCCGTACGTTAGTGTAGGGTGTAATAGGTAGATATTTAGCGAATTTATATGAATTTATTAATTTTATTAATATTCCGCGTTAGATTTTTAAATATTTTATTATAAAAACACTTTTTTAATACTTTTTATAATATAGTGATATTTATTTAAAGAATTTTATGTAATGATTTTATATTTCATAAAATTTTTACTTATTAATTTTTTCACTCAATAATTAAGAAAATTAATTCACAACTACACTTCACTATGATGGCTAATATAGCAATATGTATTTAATGGAATTTCTATATTTTGATTTGATACCTATTTCTTACAATTTTTATTTATTCACTTTATATTTTATAAAATAAAATCACAACTACTTTTTCTCTATGACGGCTATAACACTATTATAATATAACTGCCTTAAAACCGAAATGATTAACGCCCGAACTAGATTTTTTACATAAGCAATTCTTGGGGAACATTTTGCAACAATTAAGTTCCTCAATAAATTAAATAAACCCGTCATATTAATAAAATTATTAACACTACTACTAATTACAAATTCCGCGATAAACTAAGGAAATGGCGCTCAATGCTTTTCAAGTTACCAGACTTTCTAATTAGATTTCTAGTTATTGTGATTTATATAAATGTTATTGTGATTTCTTTACCCTTTTGACATTTCGACTATTGTTTTGGTTTTATTTTAGAAGCAAAAAAAAAGAAAAATACATACTTATATTTTGTGTTCAGGAAACGAAATACGCAATTTATTTTGCCTAATATAACGAGAAAAAAAAAAAATAAACGAAAATTATAAATAGATTTCTATCAATTGCCAGTGTTAATATTTAAGAATATATACGTGTAATGTCAGAGCTGCGCTCGAAAGTTATACAACTATATAAACATGTAAGTTTAATGAAAAAAAAAGTGGAACTTATTGCTGTTGGCTCCGTTCGCATGAGTCATGAGACTTGCGAAACCGGATTGTTACCAAATTTACTTAAAATTGACTTTTTTCCATTTTGTTTGCAGCTGCAATATTTGGGACGTGAATATCCTGGGGTTAATGGACCCCAGAAATTCCGGCAGCAAGTCAGAGATGCCTTTCTAAAGAACAAAGATGAAACCGATCCCAAAAAAGTAAAGGCTTTACTCGCCCAGGGACGCTATGTGGCCAAAGAAGTGGAGGCTTTAGTTTCACTAAAGAAGTATCGTACATTAAAACAACGTTATTCACAAGATTAATTTTAAATGCTGCCAGCCTGCTTATAAACTCGAATTGAAGGCCAAGGTCAATGAAAAGAAATGCGGAAAAGACTTGTTTGTTGCAGCCAGTAACTGGACAAAAAATTTATTGCATTTTATTCATCCAAATTTGTTTTTTTACTCTCCAACCCACACACCAGCTTTTTGTTGACTCATACATACATATTGTTTAGATTTTTAGAGTGTCTTATAATTAACAATTTTTAGTCGCCAATATTTGGGCCTTTAAAATCTTCCATCATGGAACAAAATTAAAAAAAAAAACGCAACATATTTGTTTAATTTCATCATGGTCATAAGAATATTTTTTTTATCATATGTTTAATTTATTGTGAATAGCATTTGAAGATTGCCACCTGGAGAATTGAAGTTAGAAAAAAACGCCAAACTAAAAATGTAGACATATTTTAGAACAAAACTAGTTAGAATTATTAGAACGTGCTTCCTTAATATATATTTCCGGTAAATAAAACAAGAATTAGTTAAAAAAATTTAAATCAAATAAAATATTAAAAAATCAATGAGTTTTTATATTATGAGACAAATTAAAGTTTTTTGTGGAAATCTGAATTGATTAACGAAAATCGTTTTACATTTTATTTTTTTTATTTTAAATTAAAAATCGGATATCTAGTTAAAAATATATTATGTAGTTTAAAACCAAAAATATATTTTTTTAAAAAGTGAAAAATTTTATTTTTGTCAAGAAACGATAAAAAATAATTTGAGTAAAATTCATAAATATCTAAATTATTTAATCAAGTTCGAGGTTTTTTAAGACAAATCTGATGTTTGGTAAAAAACTCAGTTTTAAATGCAGATTGAAATATATAATTTAATTTTTATTAAAAATTTACAAAATATTCATTATTTATAAGGTTTTGTATAGAAGTTCGCTTTTTAATAAACAGTATATATATATCGAATACTTAATTCCGATAAAATTTCACAAATGTATCTCCATTCTTTAAAATCATTTTACCTATATTAATTCATTTAACAAATTCCCAAGAGATTTTATTGAAATTTATTATTATTATTTCTTTTTAAAATTAAATAAGTTAAAAATTGTTCAATGCAGTTGTTAAATAAACTGAATAATTTTAAATTATAAAAAAATTGTTTAATTTGTAAATGCAAACAAAATTTAGTCATTAGGGAATTTGCATTAGAGGGAATTTGCAGAACTGATAGTTCTTTAAAAGCAGATTTAATTTGGAAACATATAATCATAAAGTCATCAAATTAAAATTTTAGTGAAGAATTGATTTTTCAATTAATTTTTAGTTAGTAATATTTTTATTATGAAGTTTGATACTGATGCATTTTCAGTAAAAAGCTTTTTTAATAAAAAATAAATTGTACATAAAATGCAATTAAAATTTTATATTTAGTAAATATGTATTTCAATTTTTTGTCAAAATTGTTTCGTGACAATCATTTTAATTTTTCTTTTAACATGCTAATTGCAATACATACATTTATCATTTATAAGATGATTGAATTGATTTTACTCTTGATTTCGCTCATGTGTTATATATTATTATTTACTACAATTTGTATTTTTGCTTTCATTAATTAAACATCGTTCTGAATATATTATTGTTTTCCGCGTTTTAATTAGCGAATAATATTGTCAACACTTATAACGTTGACATGGACATTCCTTAAAGTACCGCTAAATTTATTATTGTGAATTATTGTAAAGAAAAGTTTTATTTTGTGTAATAGAATATATTAAAAAGATTAAGTGAAAAATTTAGTGAGTGAAAGTGGACAAATTACTAATTATATATATAAGGGGTGAGTACATAAAGTTCTACTTTAATAAATTGTTATAAATAAGGTCCCTAAAGTGTTAATGGAAGCTGCTTATATCAACGTTATCCGCGTTCCTTCTAAGAGAATCCTACAATCTTCATATGTTTATGAATCTTAACAGAACTAGAAGTGATCTAGAACTAGTACTGAACTAGAACTGTACAGGAACTGAAATTAAAATGAACTAGAACTGATCTTTAACTAGTAGAATTGAATTAGAACTGAACTAGAGCTAAACTAAAACTAAAGTAGAACTAAACTCGAACTAAAGTCGAACTGAAATACATAGATATGTATCATAATATAACAATTACCTTTTACTGGTTGTAGGTATCATGGATATTTATAAGAAAACTTTTTTAATCAATGAAAGCCTTAATAATGAAATTTCGTTCGTTATTCCGCCAGTAACGCATCAAAATATTGGTTCTGTATACCAGTGGTATAGATAGATTCTATGTCCGTAAATATCTACTATTGAAAATAGCCAAATTGATAATATGTATTAAAAGAACAATATTAATTCCATCAGCAAATTTTGATCACCTAATTGTCAAAAATATTTCCATCAAAATTTAAATCATGATACAAAACTTTTTATTGCTTTACCCTATACTTAAATTAACAAAATATACATTAAATTTTACAAATTATTACAATTAAGAAAATAAACACTTACAATTAATTTTAAAATAAAGCACTAACAATACATCACAAACTTACTAAAACAATAAGAAATGAAATTAGGAAAAAGTGTCATGTATAAATAATTTAAAAACTTATCATTAGCAATAAACTTGAATGTACTTGAAAGAAAAAATAAACCTTAAATATAAAATAATTTCATTAAATTTCAATTAAACACTATGATTAACAGTTAGAGCTTTCATTAACCAAATTCGAAACCTAAAACATCATCTAGACCATAATCGAATAATTTAAAATCATCGGCGTAAACTTCGTACAAATGACGAATGGCACTTATGGGTAGAGGATCAAAATATTCTCGTAAATGAGCACGAGTATTCGAGGGTTTGTGGCCGGTGGGGAATGTCATATTCTCGGCACCGGTTAAGTAGAGAGCCAATGCAGAATCATCCAATAAGGTTTCATATTTGCCTAAAAAGAAAAAAAAAAGAAATAAATAGATATTCAAAAAATCTTGTATGTATTTAAAGTGTAACTTACCTATTACATTATATTTCATGACACAAGGATTACATAGTTTCGAAATGGGTTCCCAATGTTCATTGTATGATGATTGATTACTTAAACTAACTTCTGGCGTTAGCAGATATTGTACAAATTCTGCAAATGATACATCATTTCCAAATTCCAAAGAATGATTGCTAGCATCTACACGAAATGCTTTAACAATTTGTTTTCCCACTCTTCTCTGGAAATAACGAGCACTAGCGGTATCACCCTCCAATTTATTGCGATAAGCCGATAACAATCTTTCAAAAGGATGTCGTACAAATACAAATCTGGTATAATCTGAAAGAACTTCTTGTTTTTCCGTTTCATTTAATGAACTAAATTTATCAAACATGCCCGTTGAGTGAGCCAAAGAGCCAGGTATTTGCAAAGGATCGGTACCATTTCTCCAGCTGCCATTTAGTATCATCAAAACACGTTTCCAATTTGTACAGGCTACCTAGTTTTTAAATGAAAAAAAGAGAAATTAATAAGTTTGTTTTCACCAGGAAATTATTCATTGCAATTATATGATATGCATCATGGATATATTAATACAACTATTATCATTAGTTTTTTTTTTTGTAAGTGTAAATGTATGTTTATGCAGTTTCCAGTTTCTTAAGTGTGCTTCAAAAGAAAATAACAGTGATTGTTGGAATATTTTTATGACCCAATTTATTTGAGTTATTATTTATTTATTTACATTAAAAGTTTTCTTTTGTTTAGCTTAACTAAAATATCATGGAGGGATTTTTATGTGTATTTATGCAAGCGTTAAAATAAACAATCGTAAATCATTGTGAGAATTTTTAGGAATTATATACACATTTCTTAAGAATATTAATTTCAATATGCTGCAAAATACAGTGTTTTCTGAATGTGGTTTATTTGATGGTTGGCTTTCATACGTTTTAATACTTGACCTAGACCAATTTGATGTTTCTATTTTAATTAGGAATAAACTCTATTTTGATTAATCTATTTTCAATTATTTTGTCCAAATAAAAAAAAAAATGAAAATTCCAGATGTGTATCTGGAAAAAAATTGAAAAAAAATACTGTTCTAGGACTGGTTGATATTGTCTTGGAGATCATCCTATAATTGGTTGCTTTACCTCGCATGAGGATAACTTATCAGTTTCGTCACTTTCTATATAGCTAGATAAATACTAATTACTCCTCGAACGGTTTGTCGGATTCAAACCAATGGTCCCTATTATTTTGGTGTTACGCTAAATCTAATGTAATTTTTTATGATCTAAAATAGCAAAGAGACCTGCTTCGTACCAATGTTTCGTGTGGTTATCACGAGAATGTCTGACAAACGAAGACTTATAGAGCCTAAGCAGGTTCTTCGCTATAAAGTGCTCAACAATAAGGCACATCTTTTAGCGTTGTTGAGTTTCCTTCTGTCCGTTACCACGATCTGGTGAAATGAATATTGTTTATAAAATTCGGTACAACTTGCTTTAAAAATAGAATCACTATAAATCCAAACATTTATTCATCAAAAGAACTGATTTCTCACGAAATCTAGATTTTCGATAAAAAATACCTTTTAAATAATAGCAAATAAATTGAATCTTTGTCGTTGAATCATGGTTTTCCATTTAAAAACTATTTAAAATTGTGTATATTTTTTACTAAATGTAAACATTTTAGCAAAAAGTAAACAAACGTATATAATTTTTAACAAATACAGATTGGTCAAGTTCATATTTGTTTAAGTAAAAAATATATGAACCGTGTAAAGATGTTTAATGAATTTTTTTCATAAACAAACAATTGCAAGTTTTGGTTATTAAAAAAAATCATCGAATTTAGGTATCTTAAAGTAACTGATCCCCCATTAAATAACTTGTTCGGCATTGATGGTTTTTCTTTTGTTAAATATCTATTTACTACCTTTTGATGATATGAAATGTTTTGCATACTTTTTGCAACATAATCATTATTCTAGAAAAAAATTCCCCAAAAAAATCTATGATTAATTACAAACATTTTTATAACCATATCGTAAAATTTGTCAAATTACGTGCAAAAACTCATAACAAATGTTTTTTTTTTTTTGTTTTGCGTTAATATCTGCCAAAGAAAAACTATGACAATTTGATAAGAAACTACAAATTTGTTAAATAAATTTCATGAAACATTTTAATGAAAAGTAATGATTCAATATTAGTTAGTCTTCTTCTAACTAAATATTATAGTTATTTTGATTTTTAAACACGTGTGTCATAATGTAAACATTTCTTTGGAAGCACAGAAATCATGCTAAAAGATTTACACTAAAAAAAAATAAACTAACAAATTGTCATAGACTTAATCATATCCGTCGTCTATTGTTGACACACAGACTTTTATTGTTATAAACACCCCGGCATAATAATAATTGTGATACAATTCACTTTAAGTGATCAAGATATATCATTGCATTCTATTCATTCACTTTATTTAGATTTTTTGAACTTGTTTTCTTTTGTCACTTGTTCCGTGTAATGTGTTTGATCACTACTTATTCAAAAAAAGAACATAAAGATTTCACCTTGCTAAATAATGGGGATTTTGCATTCAAAACATATTTTATTTTATTGTATGGCAATTATGGTTTTTATTGTGTAAAAATACAAAAGAGAATTTATATAGTCAGACACTATAGCTGATCAAAAGAATTAAAGACTGTGAGTATTTTTAGTTAAAATTTTAATATTTTTAGTAAATGTAACTTAATATTGTTGATTTGTTGGCTTTTGAAATCGCTGTATAGTGAAGACAACAAATGTTTAATGGTCAAGATCTCTGCTTTTTAAATTGCTAGATTTAATTACTTTTTTTGTAGTTATATTATTCATTCGCTTAAGTAATTTAATTTGCTGTTATTTTTGTTGTTATTGTGTTTAAAGTTCATCATAAACAAATTTTGTAATAATATCGTACGAGTTTTTCATAACCTGTTTGTTTTATTATTTAAATGACTATGACTATTTTACGTTTAGTTTTTATTTGTGGAGACTTTAATTAAAATAATAATTCCTCGTAAAGTGATTAACTAAAAAATTTACTTTAATATAAATTAAAATAATTTTAGGATTTTTCTTTTAATTAAATATAAAATGTTGAGAGTCGAGAGTTGAAAGGATTTATCTCTTAATATCTAAGAGCAGCAGAAGGATATGTGGTAGAAAAAAGTTAAAATTTTGATTTTTTACCGTTTATTGCAAAACTATGCAATTTTATTAATCAAATGAGTAATTCATCAACAAAAAATTAACAAGAAAAATCTCTCAACTAAATTTATTTTAATTTATTAATTTACTGCAATTAAAATCAAATAATAAAATTTCATTGTGTTGCTCTAGAAAACAAACAAATACTACAAGATTAAAAATTTTTTCCAACATTTCAAAATAACAGCTGCATTTAAAAAATTCTCTGTATATATAAATAGTTTCAATAATTCTCCTCCGATAACAACTTGAAAATTTCAATGAACTTTCTGATCCCTTATAGATCTTAGTAGAAATACAAAACAATTAAATGCTAAAAAAATTAGCACTTATTGCAAATTGTTTGCAATGCAAAAACAATAAACAAGTTACTAAGATTTTGTAAAATAGAAAAACAATTTAATTATTGCAGATAATTGCGACTACGAAATATATTTGTAGTTGTAATACAAGTAAACAATGGTTTAGTATCATCCAATAGCTTACGTATACTTGTCATGCCAAGTTAACATGTAGTAAAACTTTACGAATGTTTATTTAAAATATTTTGCAAAAAGTCCAGACTATAGACTATCTATAGTCCAGGTTATAGACTAATCTATAGTCCAGACTATGGACTAAACTATAGTCCAGACTATAGACAAACCTATAGTCCAGACTATAGACTAACCTATAGTTCAGACTATAGACTAACCTATAGTCCAGACTATAGACTAACCTATAGTTCAGACTATAGACTAACCTATAGTTCAGACTATAGATTAATCTATAGTCCAGACTATAGACTAATCTGTAGTGCAGACTGTAAATGAATCTATAGTCCAGACTATAGACTAATCTATAGTCCAGACTATAGACTAATCTATGGTCCAGACTATAGACTAATCTATAGTCCAAACTATAGACTGATCTATAGTCCAGACTATACACTAATCTATAGTCCAGACTATAGACTAATCTATAGTCCAGACTATAGACTAATCTATAGTCCAGACTATTGACTAATCTATAGTCAAGACTATAGACTAATCTATAGTCCAGACTATAGACTAATCTATAGTCCAGACTATAGACTAATCTATAGTCCAGACTATAGACTAATCTATAGTCCAGACTATAGACTAATTTATAGTCCAGACTATAGACTAATCTATAGTCCAGACTATAGACTAATCTATAGTCCAGACTATAGACTAATCTATAGTCCAGACTATAGACTAATTTATAGTCCAGACTATAGACTAATCTATAGTCCAGACTAGACTAATCTATAGTCCAGAC